TGTCTCATCAAATTTACAATTCTCTACTTCGTATTTTCGCCATATTTCAACAAATTTCTTCGGGTAATTCTGATAATCACATTGTAAATTTTGAAAAAAAACCTGTATGTTAAGAAAAAAAAAATACTTAAAGTTGAAGACAGGATTAAGAATAAAGATAAAATTTATTAACAATTTTTATTCATTGTTTGATAGTCTCACTTTTGGTGAATATTGTCCAGATTTAAAACATATATATAATTCTTTTTAGATGCAAGTTTTAGAAAATACAACTTTATTGTGAAAAACAAAGGCAAATTTCTGATTTTAGCCAATGAAAAAAAGTAGTTTCTTTGTTGCCATTCGTTTGAAATTCGCACTGATATTAAAGGTGAATATTTGTACATTTCCTGATAATCTTTTTTCTCGCCTATTTTTAAGTCAACGGAATGTTAGACGGATGTTCCAAACCACTTTAAGTCACTTATTTGGGAAATCAGAAAAATACACATCAAAGACACGAATACTTTAAAAAAAATGAAAGAAGATAATAAAAACCCTTTACTTAATTTACAAATGTGTAAAATCCGTAAATTTTTGCATTTACGATTTTATTAGTAGAAAACTATTCGAAAATTTGTCGTTTGTTAATCATAAAAGAGCTTTGATATTTATTTTATTTCATTATTTTTTTTTATTAGCTTGACATAAAAGTTAGATTTGTTCAAAATAGATTTCATTAAGAACTTTTTGTTAAGAATTTCCGGAAGGTGCTTTTTGCATGAAGGGTTAATGCGTTTGATAAGAGAGAGAGAGAAAAAAAAAACGTTGCTTAGGTAGGCATGCGAATAAGAAATGTAACGACGTTGTTTTCCATTACCTGTCTATATCTCTCTTCTTTCCTATTTCAGTTCCTCTTTCTCTTCTCTGACTATGTCTCTGTCTCTGTTTCTATCTCTCTCGCTAACACAAACACACAAATACACACACACACACAAATACACACACACACACACAAATACACACACACACACACAAATACACACACACACATATTTGAGTGTGCGCATTGCAATCTTTTACCGTAATCATCCCAGGTGTTGATTGCAAAAATTAGACATACTGATATCATCTCGTGGTTTACAAATTACACTAATAAATGTTTAATTTGGCGTTGCTTAAAAAAAAATTTCTCTCTTCTGTCTGTCTGTCTGTCTCTCTTTCTGAATATATATATATATATATATATATATATATATATATATATATATGCGTGCATGTGTGTTCATAATGCGAGAAAATATCAGTCAATAACAGGACACATCGAGAAATGAACACACAATATATATACATATATATATATATATATATATATATATATATATATATATATATATACACAACAAGATGCGATCGATAAATTGTCGTATAAATTATGCAAAAATTAAAATAACACTGGCATCTCATTTTAAGATATATTTACCAAAATGACACAAAAATATCTTGAAATACTAAAGAGTAAATTTATTCAATAAAATCGCCAATGACTTCAACCACGGCCCCCAGCCGACTTCGGAATCTCCTGCATCTCTTTTGGGTGGTCTCTTTGTCTAAGCTGGTGAATGCTGTCATAATCCTTGTCTTCAGTTCATCTTTGGTGTTAAAAGGAGACTTGTTGATCTCTCGCTCAACTGCGCCCCACACATAATAATCAAAGAGTTACAGTTTGGTCAGCTGGTCAGATGTCGGGGTGATGTGGTAGTAGAAATTGTCTGACAGCCATGACTGGGTTCTCCTGCTTGTGTGGTATAGTGCAGAATACTGGTAACAGACAAAGAGTCTTCCAGCAACCACCATTTTCACACAGGGAAGTATTACCTCATCAAGACACTTGACGTAGGCCTCTGTGTTGAGTCTGAGGCCCTCGCCAACTAATTCGGATGTTCTTTTCTTATCAGAACCATCAGAGTGAATTTTCCGAGTTGTCGTATCTTCGTAATCCCCATGAGACTCTTCCATCTCTTTCGGAATCCTCTGCACTGATCTCAGATTGACACCCAAACACCCAATGTTCGTATTGGAGTTTCCGATGCGAATGCTAAACAGTTCAACATGCCGTTTCCAAATTTCCGAATTGTGTTACGATGCTCTTTTTCTCACAAACGGTTCCCAACTGACACTACTATAATGTGCAACAACGACAATTTACCCATCGCACCCTTGTGTGTGTGCGCGTGTATATATATATATATATATATATATATATATATATATATATTGAGAAAATACATGAAAATTACAATAATTTTACCTATTTTTTCAGGCTAGCAGAACTTGTGCCAAAATGCGCTCAATAGATAACAAGAGCTATACTATTCAATAAATTTAGAAAAGTTCAAGTGATTTGCCTGGTTAGCCGAATCGTGATGTTTGCATCTGGCTCTGATGATTCGGCTACACAGATAAGTCAATTGAACTTTTCATAAATAATTGATATATATATATATATATATATATATATATATATATATATATATATATATATATATATACGGTGTAACAGCAAAATTGTCCAAATCGTAGCAGCAAAATTGTTTAATTTTAGATTAAGAACCGCTGAATCTTAGAAATGATTAAAGATATCTTACTGGAATTCTCCGAGATTTATATAACATTATTGGACTCTACTTTGAACAATAAGAATGTATTTAGCTCTCAGTTGAAATGATGATCCCTCTTACGGTTGTGACCTAATCCAATTTTTCTCTCTACTGTTCCTTCATTTTTAAACTTAGTCACCGTTCTATTGATGGTTCTTGAAAGAACTTTGAAGTTGGAAGCCAGAGTATAGATGGTTGGTATCATTGCTGAAGGCCTTAATGATCGTTTTCCTCTCACAATCGCTCAGCTGAGAAGACATAGTGGGTCTGACACAAAATGATTTTAACTTGTTCTCTTTCTAGCTGAATAACTCAAAGAGTTTTCAGTGATTCTTATGACAAATGCTGTCAAGACGGCTATATCTCTTATTTGGACATCTGGGGAAAGAAACTCAATTAGCTTAGTGGTTTTTCGATGTTAAAGATTTTTGGGATGAACAATTATCCCATGCTGTTACAAGATTTGGACAATTTTTTGTTTGTTATAAATGTATATATATATATATATATATATATATATATATATATATATGCACACAAACGCATATATATATATAATTTATTCAAAAATTTTTAATATGAACATGCGATAACATCACTACAAAAATAGCCATTTTGTTTCAACACTTCTGGTTACCTAACATCGCTTGATAATGGAACAAATTTAAAGTTCCGAAACATAAATTTCCATGTCGCGATGTAAAATATTTTTAAATAAAAATATTATTAAAATATTATGCTCTACGCTGTATCGAGCACTTTTAAAAAAAAAATTAAATGCTAAAGAACTGTGGATTTTTAATCTGACCGTTTTTTTTTTTTATATATATATATATATATATATATATATATATATCACTTTGATCATTATTTTTAGTGGATACTCATATTTGAGTAGAGACTCGATCGATTCATTTATTAAACAGTATATTTATTTATTTTCGTTTACCGCCCTAAATATTAGAAAAATCTTATTAATGGTGCCGGAAATCGTATATTTTTCTTTAATAAGATTTCTCGAAATAATAAGAATAGAATAATCAGCTCCTAAAATCTTATGAAACTAGCAATTGTGGTCGGCCATTGCTCACTGGAAATTTTATTTTAAATATATTAAAGCTTTGACATTTAATATGGTATCGAGCACACTTTTTTTCCTGCGTGTATCCACAGCAGACACTTTTAGGATCTGCTTATTCTATTCTTCTTACTACAAGGCTTTGTCATGGGTGACTTGAAGAGTTCGATATTGTAGAGAACCTTTTTGGCTTTACATATTAAGCTCCTTTACAACGGTCCTATTGTTCCACATAACATCGAACAATCTTTTGTCCCACCGTTGAACCATTTCTGGTGTTTTTGTTATTTTTTGGTTTTGTTTTTTTCGTTTTTTTAATGATTGTGAATTTACAGCTTTACGATATTTGACTTATAAAAGTTCATATTTTTGCACGCTACAGGTATGGTGGAGTAATGGATAGCGGCTCGGATTGAAGAATCGGAGAGCCGAGTTCGAATTCCAGTCGAATCCATTACATTCACTTACGTGCTAAGACCCTTGGGGAAGGTATGAATCCTCTTCTTCTCCCCTAAGCTATGCTAAACAGACCAGGTTCTATAGCCTTGGATGACAACTGGTCTACCACAGAAAGAAATGGCAACCTACTGCGGAAAAAAAAATTCTGCCTCGCCAAAATGTACATGATCGCCTAAGCGTGTATCACGCATGGCACATAACTGACAATTACCGACCACGTGAAAATGGCATTCGTGCTCGGTCACTACACACTTGATATATATATATATATATATATAATTTCCTTTTCATCTTGTTTATAGTTAGTACATCTGATTACGATTACAACTATAATCACCACTAATACCACAATTAGCTCGACTGCTAACACCATTTCGATTAACCTAGTTACTTAGAACGATTACTTCGCTACTTATTTAAATATAAAAACAGTTTTCCTTGGCAATAACGTAAGTGATGAATGACTATAAAAAGTACTGTCGATTATTTACGGTGAAATTTGTTTAAATAATGTACTGAGTGTTTGCTCCACATGGCAATAATTCTGCGGAAAATTAAGCCCTAAAATAAGTAACCAACTAATCGTTTTAAGTTGTCTGGGTAATGGTGCCGTTGGTTAATCACTTGGTATATTAGTTACTCTAAAAAAGAAAACTAAGGTCAGTATAAAGTAGACAACACATAGGTAACTGTCATCGGTTTCACTAACAAAATCTAATCAACCATTGACACAAACAAATCTTCAGTGGAAACAAAGTATTAAGCAATATGTTTCTCTCTTGTTGCAGGTTTCAAAATGGTTTAGTGCAAGTAAGAAGACGGTAATGATCCTACGATTCCTTGGTACGACACCTTGCAGCTCTAGCATTGTGCCCCTTCTTACCACGTTATCGAAACAGCTTGTCTATGTCTACGATCTACCCGAAGAAGAGATCCCTGACGAGTTGGCGCCACTAATTCAGTATTTTAAGAAATTAATGTACTCAGCCAGTGCCAAAAAACCCTTAATCATCTTCCTCGATTCACTTGATCAATTATCAGCAGCTGGGGGTGCTCACGAGCTTGCATGGCTGCCTCGTAAACTGGCACCCAACGTCAAACTGATCGTGTCGACGCTGCCCAATTATTTCAGCATTCTGGACACCCTGAAGACGATTGTAGAAAGCAAAGAGAACTACGTCCAGATTTTGCCTCTGGGACAGAACCTTAGCAGTACTATACTGAAGCATTGGTTGCAGAATGCCAATCGTAATATCAGCGAAGAGCAATGGGTTGTGGTAAACGAGGCAATAGCAAAATGCAACCTGCCTTTATATGTGAAATTGGTCTTTGATGAGATATGCCGATGGAAGTCGTATAAAAAGTACCAGCCAAATCAGCTGGGACATTCGATTCACGACAGCATCACCAAATTGTTCGAAAAGATTGAGAATCAACATGGCAAGACTTTAGTGTCACATGCATTGGGATATATCACCGCATCGAAAAGTGGACTGTCCGAGACAGAACTCGAAGATTTGCTCTCCTTGGACGAAAAAGTTCTGAACGATGTCTATCAGTACCACTTACCACCGACCCGACGCATCCCGCCGCTGCTATGGACACGTATCCGAAATGATCTTCCCGGCTACCTGAGCGAAAGAGAGGCTGACGGTGTCAATGTAATCGGATGGTATCACCGGCAATTTATCGATGCAGCAAAAGAACGCTACCTGAAAAATCTCAATTTCGTCAGCGAGATCCAATCCAACCTCGCCGAGTATTTCATTGGCACTTGGGGTGGTGGCATTCCGAAACCTTTTGAGTACTCGGAATTGCAGAGACAAAGATTTAACCTGGAAGATAAACACGGTGAAGGAGATCGTAAAGTTCCTCTTCAGCCACTGGTGTTTTGTAATTCAGAAGGTGTCGTCACAAGATACAATCTGCGAAAACTCAGCGAGCTTCCTTACTCCCTCATCCGTTCTCATCGTTATGATGACCTTTACGAGAAGGTCATTTTTAACTACCGTTGGTTGCACGCCAAGCTCAGTTCCATGCCTTTACAGAGTCTACTCGCAGATCTGGAAGACCTCCTAGATCACACATACGACAAAGAAGTGAAGCTAATCGCCGACGCCATTCGCCTATCAAGTTCTGTTCTGAATCACTATCCAGACATGGTCGGACCTCAGATTATTGGACGACTTTTGCCTTACTACAACAGTCTTGAGAAAATTCACAGTCTTATCGATCAGTGTGAGAGCGAGGGACTGAACAACTGTGCTCTCATTCCTGGACACCACTGTCTTCAAACGCCTGGCGGACCACTACAATATTCATTAGAAGGTCATCCGTTTGCGCCGTTCGGTATAGCCGTTACTGCCGACGGAAGATATGTGGTTTCTGTTTCAAATAAATTCATTATATGGGATCTTTCGACCGGTGACGTTGTTCGAACAGTTTCTCCGAAGATTGAAGGAATCATGCAAAATTTGTCAATATCTCCAAGCGACAAATACGCAGTGGGTTACACTAATAACAAACAGATTGTGGTATGCTTCATCCATACTGGTGACTACTACATTATCAACGAACCAAAAGGTTTAGAAAAAGGCCAGTTAATGGGGACCACAGTCTCGAACAGTCACATTGCAGTATGGAAGGATAGAGAGTGGTACTTAATGTCGATCGAAGGAAAGTTTATTAACAGTTTCCAATCGGAATTAAAAATACCAATCCTTTCGGTTTTGTTCACCGCCGACGGGAAGCATTTCGTGTTTCTAAAAAGTGGAGAGGAAGACGACAACGCCATGACGCTCGAGGTTTCTGATCAGTCGATTGAACCGTTTGAATTTCACAGCGGTATAGTACTGAACAATGACAAAACATTGTTGTACACTTGCATAGAAATCAGTGACAATGCTATCGTTGCCTACAAACTGAATGGCCAACGTTGGCGTTATGGCCGGACTTTAGACAACAACATTGAGCCGGTCTTCTCTATGGCTATCTCACAGGACGAATCCTATCTTCTTGTAACCATTCCTTTTGGTTACAAGCTGTATGATCTAAAGAAGGATACCTTAAAAGATCTGAAGTTGCCACATGGGGTTAGAAATATTCCAACCAAGAATCAATTGAACAGTTTGGTTGCCTTCACGAAAAACAACCATTTTGTAGTCGCTGGTGTCCGACGCAATCTTTATGTGTGGGACGTGAAACAAGGCAATATGGTTAAAGTTCTGGACGCCCACTTTGGAAGAATAATTGCAATGGATGCTGTCCGGGGCAAGAAAAACAAGGTAATATCCTCGTCGATCGATAAAACCATCAAAGTCTGGAATTTTGATAACATTTTGGAAGACGTTCATTCAATTGATCGTTTAGAAAAGCCGATTGAATCGATTAACCTGGCTGAAAACGTCAACTTAGGCGTCACCACGACACGAAACGGTATTGGCGTTTGGAATGTTGAGCGAGGCAAATTAGTGCACAATCTTCCCGGGGGATCCCATAATTCAATTATATCCAGTGCGCTGATTACCAAAGACGGACGACACGTGATCGTTGCAGAATCTGCCGGCGTCGTATTCTGGGATGCCTCCACCGGCAAGATGATGAAAAAAATCGCACAGAATAATGCTCAAGTGGTTTTTCTCAACGAGGAAGATACGAGAGTGATTTGCTTTTCGATCGTCGGTGAAGAGAAAGGGCGGGGCGCATGCTTTATATTTCCGGATGGAGATGAAGCATATAAGTTTGAATACACGATGAGAACGTTCTATAAACCAGTTCTGACTTGCAACGGTTTGCAACTGGCTGTCCCGGCAACGGACAAAAGCTGTGATACTATTAACATCTACAACGCCAAAACAGGGCACCTGCAATACACGATGCAGCTAAAGTATTCGAACTATAAAGAAATAATAGAAATAGTTGCTATGCCTCATGACGCGCACCAGATCGTCGTTGTCGACTGCGAGAAAGGTAATATTATTGATCTCAAAAAGAAAAGTCTCATTCGCTCAGTGCTTCGATGGAATGGCATGGCAATTAAAAGTGGAAAACAGGGTCTTTACGCGCCTTCAAGAGGCGGTCTTGAAATAATGGAACTAAAACATGGCAAAACTCTAAAGACATTAATTCCGAGAGTCGCCGAAGGTGTATTCAGCATTCAAGTTCTGTTTGCTAAAAATGACAAGCACGTCGTTTATTACCACTCGGGCCGGCGAACTATTCGCGTTTTTCGCGTTTCCGACGCTAAGATGATAGCTAACTTTAAGACCCATGCCGCTATCAACGCCATGGCAGGCACCGCATCTGGAACGTCAGTTGCCATCGGTGCGGTAGATGGTAGCCTCACGCTTCTGACCATAGCTGACCCTGAGCATCAAGAGAATCTGGATTACCTTCGCTCACTGCCAGTGCGACAGATAACGCAGTGTCCTCAGCAACAGTTCGATGCAAATGGCGAATTGATTTTGAACAAGGAACAGTTCGGTGCGACGCTTCATGTGACCAGATTCGTGGCGAAAGCCGGATTGGCTCTGCATAATCAACACTCCAGGGCTTGTGTAATATCATAAATGCCACTCTGTTAATCTTTACTTCCAAAATGATCAGTTCGTGTAGTTGAAGCGCTTATAAAACTTCAGAACTCAAAAGGTTCTAGCTTTATGCGTCTACCTTGCAAGTCTCTCCGCCGTTCCTTGCCTCTGTGTGTCAGTTCATTTAGCTAATTTCATCCAATTCAAATTCAACTTCCTTAGGGATTTTAACTTTATCGAAACTACTTCGAAGCGACAAAATATATAGTTCTACGGGCAAACGTTGAGAGTACCACAGACAATTTATGTGAGAAAGCGAGGAAGTTTCCAGGGGACCACGAAGTACAAAGAAATTTGTTGTTAATCAGAGACAGATGAAAGTCAAGTGACGCATGATGAGAAAAAAAAAGTTCGGAAAATTTAACACTCACGGGTCATACTGAAAGGAAGAGACGTAGCGGAAAGCATTGAAAAATCTGTTTGATCAACTTGAGGAAATGGATGGGTAGGGAAGTATTTAAAAAAGAGAAAGAGTTATTGCAAAGGAGCGGGTATTGCTGCAATCAACAAAAGTCAGAAAGCTGTGAAGAATGATAATCGTCTACATTCTGAAAGGGGCATGAAGCATTTTGAAAGAGTGAAAGTGAGAGAGAGAGAGAGAGATTCAGTAATTATGGTTCTTGGCTGCTTCTGGAACTCAAAATATTCTCGCTTTTATACAATTGTGTATTGTGAAATTTTTTCTCCATCTCTCTCTCTATATATATATATATATATATATATATATACTAGGTAAAAAAAACTATGGCGCCTTCCTTGATGAATTTCATTTTAACATCAAGAAGCTGAGTAGACAAGTGTAAAAGTTCAGTTTAAAATTAAATAGACAAAATGTCTATATTGTTCAGTGATACATGTTTGAATGAAGACATGCTGCCTGTTTATATATATATATATATATATATATATATATATATATATATATATATATATATATATAGATTTGATTGAAAAGTAACCCCTTATTTTATGTATGATGGACTCTCCTGTCTAACTATAATTTTTACAAGATAGAAGAGTTCATCATACATAAAATGGGGAGATACTTTTGAATCACACTGTATATATATATATATATATATATATATATATATATATATATATATATATATAAAGATGATAATATTATTTGGTAATCCGTATGGATAATTCCAAAGAGAATATAGATCCAGAGATAGCTCAATGTAAGAACGGAGCAAATGATAATTTTGAAAGTGGAAACTTTGGAAATCTATGGTAATATTTTATTTCACAAAACCGATACTTGGGTTTCGTCTCATTAGACCAAACAGGTTCAAAACTAAATGTATTTATTGTTAAAACTGTTTGGTTTGATGAGACGAAACCCAAGTATCGGTTTTTGCGAAATAAAATATCTCCTATGGATTTCTAAAGTCTCCACTTTCATAATTATATATATATATATATATATATATATATATATATATATCAGGTAGCCTGAAGATTGCGTTCAACATGAAACAGACTGTTACCACTCTATGTTGACTTCAGTGTCCACTTTATACACTTACATAATAAACATTTTTAGTAGGTACATGTGTTTGAGTTGCTTTCTTTTTTATTTTCTTAAACAGTACAATTAATAACTACCAGCCTAAATGAATTATGCCCCTCGGCAGGAATAGAACTTGTATCTCTTTTTTTTTTTTTTTTTTTATTAGGGAAACCTATCCTATTGCAGAAATATGCCGCTACCAATTTGGCCGGGGATTTAAATATTTGAAGATTGTGGGGTCACTCACGTCATACCTGCAGGGATAGCCTTGTATTCACAGCAACAGAAACATACAAAGAAATAACCTGTTAAATTGTAAATAAAAAACATATAATTTTATTTATTTATGTGTATTGGTGTGTGTGGATTTTAGTTATATGTGTTTTAATGTTGATGTGATTGAAGAAGAAAGTCACCTCGTCTTATGACAAGTAATGTGTCAAGGAGAAGAAATTGACCTCTTGACCCTTTGAGAGTCGGTAATTAAGAGAGTGAGTTAGACGTTTTTAGGATCGAAGAATCCGTTTCTCAAACTGGAAAGTTTTCTGTTGCATGCTGGGATAATGTTTTTGGGTTTTATTTCATTTTTTTTAAACAAAATTTTAATGTTATTTGTTTTATTTCATCTACGATATTTATTATTATTATTATTTTATATTTTTATTTTTATTTATTAATAACAATGTCCCTCTAAGCTGACTGGGAGCAAAAACCAGAAGAGAGTTTCACAAGCAAGAAGTGCGAGAGAAGAAACTGTTAACATTGAACTTACGGTTACATCTAGCCATTTCAAGTGTAAAATGATGAGATCTTACTGCCAATCTCATACTGCGCTTAAATTCATAAAGTATATATATATATATATATGTGTGTGTGTGTGTGTGTGTGTGTGTGTGTGTGTGTATATAAATATAAATGAATATATATATATATATATATATATATATATATAATTATTATATATATATATAATATTTATATATATTTATATATATATATATATATAATTATTTATATATTATATGCGGTACTTTATAAAATAAGTTTAGTTCAAGCTAACACCACAATAATTACATTTATAGTTTTTTTTAATTATTCTCCCACCACCATTACTAATCACTACTACCAATTTACAATAACTATTAGCCACTTATATTATCATTGTCACCAACCCCCTTACACATTACTATCACATCAAATCTATTATTATCATATAAACCCGTCATAATTATTAACGTAAACTACCCACTCCCCCAGGATATTTAATACCACCATAAAAATAACCAATAAGGATTACAAACTGAAATTTCTACCATTCACATATACACAGTCATAAAAAAAAATAAAAAAACAAGCAAATAAACAGCATTAAAATAATAACAATTTTTTTTAAAATTAGAAATAAAACTTATAGCAATTTTCAACTATCATAATTTTACACAGAATGCCTATTATCAGGATTTATACCAAAATAAATTAATATATATAACAAAATAAAATTACATTCATTGTTTTTTATTATTCTCCCACCACCATTACTAATCACTTCTACCAATTTACAATAACTATTAGCTACTTATATTATCATTGTCTCCAATCCCTTACAACATTACTATCACATCACATCTACTATTATCATATAGAATTATTAACGTAAATTATTAACCAGCATATTAAATGCCACCATATAACAAGGATTACAAACCCCCAGTTTTTTTCAAAAAACAAGCAAATTTAAAATAATAATAAATAAATTTTTTAAATTAAAAATAAAATTTAGTAATGTTTATTTATCATGATTTTACAAACCCCACTACACGTATATACATACATGCGAGGAAATATTATTCAGTGAAAAAATAGAAAAAATTGTTGACATGTATACATTACATTCACGAGAAATTTTCGCTACACTTCCAATCTTTGAATTTCATCATACAAATGCGTATGTATAGACACAACACCACCCATATACATACATATGTCAAATATGAAACTGTCCACATATGTTTATATGTTTATATATGTATGAATCTCGACGGACGACCAAGTGTGTATGTGTGTCTGCGTACGTCATTGATGTATGAACATGCATCTATGTTTGCGTTAGCACGATGACATCACGACGACGTTTTCTCCCCACTCCCATAATAACACCAATACACGCAATCTACATAAACCCAAAATTAAAAAAAATTAATCAGTTTGTCTGACGATCGCAAAAGCGTGAAACCCAGGGTCACAAACTCACATCTATCCAAATATATATATATATATATATATATATATATATATATAAATTTAAATAATGTCTAGTAATTAAACAATGAAAATCAAGCAACCAAATTTAAATGTACCAGAATTTTTTTCCCCTGCAAATATCATTCTCTTTTGAACATTGAAAACGTTTTCCTATTGTGCTTTATCTAATTCTGTCGGATTCTGATCTATATTTGATTCCAACTTAATATATATATATATATATATATATATATATATATATATATATATATATATATATATATATTTGGGGGTTGTCTGTCTGTGTGTTTTCAACCTACAAAATAGTAAATATTTAGAAAAAAAACAATCGGGAAACAATATTTGGATGTTTTGGATTAAGTTATGAATTCGGTCTCCAAAAAACAAACGCAATAATGAAATTATAAGAAATAAAATTTATTTACAAAATCACTGTGTCTCTTATATTTAATGAAAGTCCAGGAAGAAGGATTAGTAGCTAAATACAGAAGATATATACAGTCTCGAAGTAGAACTTCCTTAGAGTCTACGTGCTTGTAAGAGACTTCTACAAGAGGTTATCTAGTTTTATCTCGTTCGTTATCTCTCTCAAATTCGAAAATTTGGAATTCCCAATGAAAACAATAATCTTTTATATCATTTGATGGAGCAGTCCAGTACTAATTATGGTATCCCGGAACTTTATGAAAAAAAAGGTTGGACCCCAAATTGAATTTTTATCTATTGAAATTGGATTAAATTGAACAGATATTTTATATATATTTTCTGTTTATACGATTTCTTATGGGTACTGTTCGATTAGATTAAATGGTCTGTTTTTTTTTTTTTTTTAATAAAAATTATTAATTACACCTACCGGCCTTAATGTTCGAAAATTTTTAGAAAATATGCATCCTAAGAGGAATGGAACTTTATCCTATATTGGAACCGTCATTAGCCTGAATTTCTTGAACATATCTTTCAAATAAATAAATAAACATTAGTTTTTTTTTTCAAATCTTATTATTTTTCTATACATCATTTTTTTTTGTACAAAAGACTTTTCTAAAAAATTTCCTTTTTTACTTTTTACTAAATTATAAAAATAAAAAAAAAAAGTGCATCCTTTATTGATTGGTTTAAACAATTAATTTATCCAACCCATTTCGGGCTACTTAAAGTCAGAAAACGTTTTTTAGATTTAAGAATGTTTTTGATTGGCTCGAATTCGACAAAGATTAAACTCAACGTTGATTCTGAATTCCGCAGAACTGGGTTAAAATGTATTTAAAAAAAGTATTTTTGTTAACATTCTTTCAAATTCGGTTTTCCATTTACGAATATTTTTGAAAAGCTGATCGTTAATTGTTCATTTTGTTTAGTTCTTTTTCGTAACGGATTTAATGTTTGGTATAAACCTGTTAGAAAAAAATTCGCAGTATATAATAGGCAAGAAGATCAATGGTTGAAAATGGCTTTCAGCACGAGCAAAGGGCACTTCTTTAAAGGAAAGGAAGGGCAAAAATATTTTAAAACAATTGATAGCGATTGCTCTAGAGAATTACGATTTTGAATCGCATCATTTGGTACCATGCAGTAGTAACATCTAAAATGGATAGGTATATTGAAATTATGATAATATAGTGGGGGGCTATTTTCCAAAATCACTCTTTCAAATAAAAGTTTAGGATATAAACCCCATTCTTGTAAGTTCATAAAATCGAACTGGATTGATAAAATATTTTCATGAAAATTTGTTTGAGAGAAATATCAAAATTAGTTTTCCTTTTCAAAATAATTAGATTGGTGAAGAAAATTCATCTTTATTGGAAAATACGTAAATGTTGGTTGTAAATATTTTTCCTACAAAAATTGTTTTAAGAGTATAGATTAAATGAATATTGAACAAATTTACATTCTCATTGCATTTACCGTAATTCCCGAATATAATACGCCTTCATCCATAAGGAAACCGCTACTATTAACATTGAACTATTAGAATTTGTTTCTAATCATGTCTAATACGCACCCCTTGTTTGAAAAATCAAACCCGAGATAAATTGACTTCTCACAGATAAATTAAGGAAAGCTTGTCCTACTCTTTTTGAAACTGTAATGAAGATATTTATCAAAGGAAAAGACTATTCTATCTACTTAGAAAATACCTATATTTGACTTAGTGCGCTTTTTAAATTAACCTGTTTTTAGAAGATATCTACATTATCTACAGAATATGTATTGTTTTCTGTAAAAAATGGGATTAAAAAAAGTAATATTATAAAAATTTCGTTTTATGATAATCTTATTTATTTTACATTTCAAAAATATTGTACCTTATATATTGTATTTCAAACAGACCTTTATCGAGACGAAATCTTGAATAAACCAGATCAAGTTGTCGTATGTTTGTTGAGAAGTCATTTTTGGTTGAAAACCAGATTAAACGGCTACTTTTTTTAAGATTATGCAAACCAGCTGTGCATAATTTTTTTGAATCAGTTAAATTTGATCCATAATTTTTTAAAATGCGTATTATATAGAATTATGACGGATTTTTTTAATCTAGTTCAAACCAAATATGTATATATATTAATCTAGTTCAAACCAAATTTTGTCTACCATTTACTAATTTAGGGAAAACCAACATTGACCATTTTTTTTTTATTTTAGTGCAATTTTTTTTTCGTAGAAAACAAATTTTCATCGTGACAATGGAAAAACAGAATAAATTTATGCTTGTTCAGGCATAGTTAAATATTTGAGAATAATTTTGAATATCCGAATATTTCTGAAATTCAAAAAACTAAATTTTTCAACATTGTGAGAAGTGTTACCCTTAAATTTTGTTACCATATCCAGGACGTTTCGCCTGGTTCAGCCTTTTTCAGTCGATTAATTTAGAACTGAACCCTTTATTTCGTCCACCAGAGAAGATTGTTCTAGTTCTACGTAGAACCTCTTCGGATGCCTTTCATTCTTGCGAGAAAAGGTATATGAATTCTTTTCTTTGGGGTGACAGCTGAGGTGAATTCAAATCTCCAGGTTTTTTGTAGAAAAATAGTGTATTGAACTCGCATCTCTTTGGGTCAAGTCACTGGATTTAACCAACGCCTTTATCCACTGAGCCACACCACACATTCACTTTTAAGCCACACACATTCACTTTTTAATGTGCACACATACGCGTTCGTGATATGCATTCACGCATACAACCACATATTCATATTAATCACAGATAAAAAACTCACACACACAGAGACATAGAATGAAATCATTTCCACCGTAAATAATTCACAAGAAATTCGAAATCTTGAGGTATTCAAATTGCTAGTTTCAAGTTTAAAGACATATCAAGAAGGTTAATTTTACGGAGAAAAGGAATGTCTTATGTGTCCAGAGAATTTAAACAATTCCTAAAACTGAATGATCGATAGATAGGACGAGATTATGGCTCGTTGAAAATCTTTAACAACTGTTAAGACATGTCGAGGACATTATTTTATTGATCTATGCTACTCTAGTATTAGCCGTTATCCTATAAGGAAACATTATGGAATTCATCGTCGAGTATAAGATTAATGAATTTCGGTTGAAATTTATAAAATCTATAAAAAAAGCTTTTTTCAGAAAAAAAAAACAAAATTACGTCCTGTAGCTGTTATCGCTCTTTTTTTTTTTGATGGGGGTTTCTTTCTTGAGTTTTTTTTTTTTTTGTGGAATATTAACATTGATTTTTCATTATTTTCTCTTACAGTTGCATGTGATATCCATTTTCAGTTGTTGATATTGGAAGTCATCAAGGGATGTGGGATTTGGTACAGTTTGGTAATTCTGTGTTGGATATCGGTTGAGAAATATCTTTGACCTTCCATCCATTGCTGCATCAATATTCACAAGTAGAAATGGAATTGGAGATAGAACATTCGGAAATACATCCGGTGAAAAATTCCGTTACAAAGACATTTTGAATTGAATCCGACTTGTACAGGTTTTGAGCGGATGGCAATGGGTGTTTGTGAAGACTGTGGTCGCATGCCAGAAAAATTGGATATAAAATTAAATCGGCGAGAAATACCGGAAAAGGCGTAACCACGTGAAGTTGCGTAGTTTTCCATAAATGTTATTTAACCGGTCCGATTTTTATCTGGACAGAAACTGTATAGAGGTTCACCGAAGACTTGTCTCCGTCAATTCCCGTGAGTACAATCCTAATCTATGTGGTATGTAACCGCTCCTGACTCTACCAACATCGCCACGACTTGATTTCTTATTGAACCAGAATAAGGTGGGCAGAAAAAATCAGTGTATGTGAGAGATGTTTTGTTTAACACACCGTTGAATGCGCCAGTTGTTCAAAACTCGAACTGTAATGAAATTTATGGTTTTATATATACTTATGTGTATTTTTCAGGAAAATTTTTTAACCCAGCAGCAAAATACTTCATCTGTAGAGTCAGTCCCTAATCTTCGAAAAGGGATGAACTTTGCCAAGTCCTTCAGGTTTTAATCGCTCAAAGCTATTTTAACCATTGATCTCAGAAAAACGATTATATACAGCTGACAGTTTAGATATTCTGGAACGAGTTTGGTACCACGCATGCCATCCATGAAGGTCTTCATCAGGAAAGTCTATTTAAGAACATGACTCGAGTTTTCAGGGTAATATTCTTAAATAAGTTATACACATTTTGAACGCCAAGAATGAATTGAAATCGGATATTTTTAACTTGATGTTGGAACAATGTTGTTCACAGTGCCAAGCAAGCGGCCAGATGTTCATGGAGTATGTCAAAGCCTGAAATACCGCACCCTCTTCCCCCGCCCCCACCAAACATTTTGGCTGAGAATTCTTCTCGGTGTCACAACGAAGATCAAATTTGACAAATGTCCTAACTTACATAACAAAATTGCTGCCCGGCAGTTTGGCAACGAAACATCTGATATTTCTCGACTGAAAACCGCTTAACTATTCCAATGT